GCAAATGCATATTTTCTAAAAAAAGTCATTTTTAGTGAAATTTTGCCGGGAATGGGGCTTTAAAGGTTTGCATAGCGAAGAAATAATATATATGTTGAAGCTTGCGGTACACCACGTAAGTAGTTCTGAAAAGAACTGTTGTAGTTGAGAAAGTCTTGATGTTTCGATTGAGATGTTTCAATCGTCTTCAGGAGAATAATATCTGCAGACACTCCAAACAGGGAAATACTTATATGTTTGGGTAGAGAGGCTGGATGGTGATAAACTAACCAATGGGTGAAAGGCTAAAACGCAAGCTGGATGGTGATTGGATAGATAAACTGACCAATGAGAAGACTGCTAGTGAAAGGCTAAAACAAAAGCCATTGTTCACGAAAACAAAACAAAAGGGTGGAAACACCCAAACAAAGGCATGGTTCCAGGGTGGGAAAGTGGGTGAGAACGACCAAAAACAAAGGCATAGTTCCAGAAGTCGGGAAATGGTGGGGCTTCGCTAGGTCCGATTAAACATGGACAGCCAAATATCGCTGATGACAAATCCGATGTCTTGATGTACAGTATTGTGTTTGTGAATTTCGATTGCTTCTCTAGTCCTTCTGGAGTGCCAAGATGGTACGGTGGCTATTAGTTCGGCTTTGTCCCAATGTACACGGTGTTGTTGACTGTGGGAATGCATGACTATAGAAGATTTTTCTCGTCCTGTTTCACCAATGTAAACCTTCCCACATTCGCACGGGATCCGATAAACTAGTAGCACTTTCGAAACCACTTTTTTAAGTTTATCTTTTTACAATTTTTGTAGTTCAAGAGTATTTAAGTGTTTTGTTTTTTGTTCCTTAAAGTCGCAATTCCCTTACTTGAGCCGGTGTCGCCACCTTAGCAGTGCATGGTAGTAGAGCCGAGGCTTATCCAGGGTGGAAGCTACCGGAGCCCAGCATACTGTCGCCGGAGTACCTGAGTGTATGCGGTAGTGGTGGTGACGCCGTCTCAACAACAGGAGTGCGCATTTTTCATGCTGCTGCTTGGTTTTTTCCATTCTTGGTCTGCCTGTTTTTGAAGGCTTAATTTATCAATTATTTATTTATTTATTTTCTATTTGTTTATTTATTTACTTTATTCATTTATTTATATTTATTTAACTTATAATAAATAAAATTGAAAAAATATTCTGATTAATATAGGCTCTTTAATATAAGATATAATATAATTTAATTTTTTAAAATTCATGGTCGTACCTTTTTTCGGCGCCTTGAGACGATTTTATTGTGGAAGGCGCACTACAAATACCTTCGGCTTCCTTTGTGAAGACCATTCGGGATGTTTACCTCAAATCTACAGACACTCTTGTGAGCTTCGACATCAAATCAGTATTCACCAATGTACCTGTCCAAGAGGCTTGTCTTATAGCTAAACACCGTCTAGAAGAGGACCACACTCTCCAGGAAAGAACAGATCTAAACCCTCAACAGATTTACGATTTACTTTTACAGTGTTTAGTCTGCACTAATTTCAAATGGCGCAACCAGTTTTTCGAACAAACAGAGGGCATGGCCATGGGATTGCCTTTATCCCCAGTCATTTGCCAACATCAACATCGGAACATCAAAATAGTGACAGTTACACAGTATATATGACAATGTGTGAAGACTGGGTGCCAGGAAGGCCAGACTCATGACGATGGGAGCACCCAGAAAAGGAGTTACAGACTCTCAATGTCTTTGTTCTCCATAGTAAATTAATTTAATCGTTTCTTTTTTTCATTTTGAATTAGGTGACTGTGTAAGTGTAGCCGCCCGTGTCGTGTTCCATGCCTGGTGATCCTTTATTTTTTGTATATGAATAATGACAGACCCCTAAAGTTCAGAGTTAAAAAATTCACCCAAAAGTCACAGATACTCAGCTTATGATAAGGATTCTATAGAGATTCTATGAGGAATGATACGATTTAGGCTTATTAACTTTTTTTTTCAAAAATTAATGTAATCATTAGACTATTTTTTAAAGAATTAATACATATCATATAAGAATAATAATAAGTGTTTGCTTCGGCCTTCAAATAATGCTGTACTGAATACTCTATTGACATTGTGTAGGCGCTAAGGAGAGAGAGCAGGCCCAAGCTAGATGTTATATATAATATATGGCCTATGCTAGGTCCCATTCATTTGTCCTGTTTACTGTATTTTAATGTAAGCTTGCTTATAATTTATTACAGCATAAACAATGGAGGTATTACAGCAAACATCACCACCCCACACACAGTGGGGGTGGTGACCTATGCTCACCATGACATGAAAAACTACAGCGAGCCAAGTCCAGCGAAACCAGATTGCGCATGCGCTAGTAATTCCTTCAGTCATTCTAAATGAATAATTCATTCATTTTGGCTCAACTTACCTACGATAAAAAAATTTGCATGCAGTAGGACTATAAAGGTGGTAGGTTGTAGTTTATACCAGTAGGTGGAGGTGTGATATGGTAACCACATAAGGAGGTAGGACTATAAAGGTGGTAGGTTGTGTGTACCAGTAGGTTGTAGTTAGGTTGAATTTTTTCACAATACTCTATTAATTAAATTATGAAATCAACAATAATTTGCAATTCAAAAATATTCAGTTTCAGAATATTAAAAAGTGAATCTGACATTGAAATATTTATACAAATATATTAAGAATAAAAAGCAAATCTATTAGAACATTTATTTTTTCTTCCTTTAGCTGCTAGCATCAGCCAGTTATGATAACACAATAAAAATATTTGTAGAAGATAATGATGATTGGAGTTGTATATCAACGCTTGAGGGGCATGAGTCTACTGTCTGGAGCATTTCATTTGATGCATCTGGTGAAAGGTTAGCCTCATGTAGCGATGACAGAACAGTCAAGATCTGGAGGCAATATGAACCAAACAATCAACAAGGTTTGCAATAGAATTTATTATACTGTAAGTTATTTATTACAAATAACCATAACATCAATTAGGCTAACCTTGCCTTGTTAACTACTGAATGTATAGACATTACTAGTTCATGGGTTTGGACAAGTATGAACCCTGCGTTGTTGGGCCATCCAACTGAAGTTATTACCATTGCAAAACTTTCCTATATTGGTGTATAAGCACAATGTTTACCATCCTAAACCATAAAATCCAAAATGGACTAGGTGGACCCTTAGTTCAGATCTCTCTGTTCCCAAATCTTGGAAGCCACAATGGTGGTTGGACAGATAACTGTTAATAGTATTTTCTGGGGTTTTTTTGTGCAGGAATTCTGACTGATGGAAATTACCCAGCTTGGAAATGTGTATGTACTTTATCCGGTTACCATTCCAGACCAATCTACTCTATTCATTGGTATGTATGAAGTCATCAAGTTGTCAGACAGGGTTTGAAAATTTCAGGCAGAAGTCAACAGGGTCCAAGGGTAATGCTTCAGTGGTGTTACGGGGGCCATGAGAGGCTCGTGCCCCTCCCTGTATGTCAATCCGAAAAATAAAAAAGATTGAGAAAAATTTTAGGTAAAGAGAGAAAAAAAATGAGTGCACCCATGAGTTCAGTGGCAATCCAGCAGTGGGAGAATGCAGAGCTCGATCATTTACCACTTATTTACACCAACCATGGTGGGGCTGAGGTGGGCGTGGCAGCTTGAACTTCATTTTGAAAATGAAGAAATTAGAACATTGTTAGAACATTCAGTGCCCAACAGATTTTATACAAAATTACATTTCATTTCTTTTGATTTCATCTATTACAGGCAATGTACATAACACAGGTACAAACAAGCCTGATAGCCTTCAAGTGAAATTAATTACTATCAAGGGGCACTCCTAATAATTAAAAAACAAGAGGAAAATTAAAATTACATTATGAATATGAATATAATATAGATTTATTTTTTGTTTGCAATTGTGTGTGTGTGTGCTTTTTTTTGTCAGTTTTAATTTTGTCAGTCTTATTATTTTGAAAATACCATTGTTAAATTCCAATGTGTCTGCATTAAATTCATTTAATGAAGGTTGGGCTATTATCACTAGTGGCAGCATACACATTTGTCTTACATTGTCATTGGTTCACAAAGTTAGAGTAAGCCTACACTATCAGAATGCATTATTGTATCTATACTACTGGCTAGACTGCATAGCCCTGCATTTGTTTCTCATTCTTTCTTATTCCTCTGATGTTCAATGTATTCTCCTAAATTATTTATTTTTCTATTGGAGCCATTCAATGTTATTTTTGTATGAACACCTTATGATCTAGGAAATAAATAATATACATTTCACATTTCTTTAATCTTGCAGGTGCAATTTAACAGGTCTTTTAGCAACAGCATCAGGCGATGATTGTATCAGAGTCTTCAAGGAGGACACTAGCATACAAGACACTATCAACGTGCCCGCATTCCAATTAGTCGCATCACAAAGCAAAAGTCATCAAGAGGATGTAAATGGCGTAGCTTGGAATCCAAAAGATGCTGGACTCTTGGCCACCTGTAGTGATGATTATGAAATTAAACTGTGGAGGTACTCTGATGGGTGCGGTACTATAAAATATTAATGGAGACATATCACTTTCTAAAGTTGTTTATGAAAGAATGGGAGGACTTGAAGGAATGTAACCGAGATTGGTTGTGTAGTTAGTGTAAAGTTACAACCCCATCAGCTGATGCCATTGTGACTTCTTGAAACTGTAAACTGTATTTATATTGTTGTATTATATACAGCAATATTTAATAAAAGTTGAATTAGAGACCATTGTCTATATCACGAATACTTGATAACTATTACAACTGCTACAGACTGCTTGTCATTGCAATTCACCCTAGGAATTAAATAAAAAAGGTCTTTTGTAATGAAAACAAAAATTAAAAAATACAGTGCAGTATAATTTACAATTTCATGTGAAATGAAGAGAATATAGAGACAGAAAAGTTGATAATTTGTATGAATTGTATTTATTGTTTCTTAATTCAAAAAGACAACTATGACACTATATTATACCATATTATATACCGCATATATAGATTCCAGGCATTTGATTTTGTAAAGAGTGGGCATAATAACTTCAACCATCTCTCCTATGAAGTAGGTTGTATGATGGTTCATAAATTCCTAAGGGAAAAAAAATGTACTATCACGTAATTAAATTATACTTTTTTTCCCTAATTATAAGATCACTGTGAAATTTATCATTATGACACACACGGACGGTAAAGGCGAATGTGACCTCTATGACGAGAGCGATTGACCCTTTGGCTGTGCCATGGATCAGCTTGTCATGGCTGAGCGAGTAGGCCTAGGTGTACTTGTTGGCAGTGTGACCACTGCTTGGGTATTTACCCAAGATCTTGGGTATTTTGACATGGTCTTGGGTTCTTGGGTATTCCGTTCAAATCCTTGGGTATTTTATTTTTACTAAAAAAAATATTTTTGTCATAGAGGAAGAATTAAGACTGTAACAAAGTATATTTCAGTCCATTCAAGTAAGCAAAACTCAACGAAGTGCACATAACATTGTTAATTGACTGTTGATTGCTATAAACATGGGTTGGTTCAGAATTGTTTATTTGTGATTTGCGTTGCCATCGATCTTACCTAATTAATACATTACATAATAAAACTTGATCACTGATCTACACTGATAACACTGGCCAACTGAGGGCGTATTTTTCTATCCGTATTATTACCTCATGATACTAATTTAATAATAAACACAAACAATTACAATAAAAAATGGTTTATAAATTGAACTAAAAGGGAAACTATATATGCGAAAAAAACATTTTTTTCAAATTTTGATGCATTTTCAGGAAGCTTGGGTAATTTTGGGCAATTTTTGCTGAATCTTGGGTAATTTCGACCCAGTCATTGGGTATATCAAAAATTGTGAGTGGTCACGCTGCTTGTTGGGTACTCTTTTCATTACATTGTTTAGGCCTCGTAGGATCTATGCCCTGTGTGTAAACTGTAGGTATATAAAACAAATATTGATTGCTCTAGATTCAGGGAACAGTGAAATCTGTAGCCTCTCGGTGATGTAGAGACCATGGCCTACTAGTGGCCCTCGGGAAAGTAGTAGGTTGAGCGAGTGGGGAAGGGGAAATTCCCCCGTCGGACAGACCTGGACGCCCCTTCGTCCACACACGAGGTCGCCTGATCGAAAACAATAATTTGCCTATCCAAGTAACGTTATTTTGACTGCCAATCCCTAAGATTGTAGTCTGAACTGAAAGCACATTTTGGACCATATTAAGCCATAAAAACTCTCCCTGTGAACCCTAGAAGGGAGTTTTTATTCCGAGCCGTTTAGCAAAGACTCGTTGCCTCCTCCATCGGACATGTCAGACCCCTTTTCGGAAAATTTCTGGCGCCACTGCTGAGTAGGCTACAGTCTCCTCATCTCCGAAGGGCTATATTTCACAATTCCCCACAATAAAGATTTATTTTCACCAGAAAATACACTTGCTGAAGAATAATTATTGTTCAACTTTCGTTTGGTCATTTGATCCACGTCGTATCTTCGAGCCTGGGAATATTAAATGAGAACATAGCACTACTAGTACCGGTATACCCATACCTCACTTAACCACACAACAGCACACCTAGGCCTACAGCCTAAGGCGGTGTTTCTTCTCAATTACTGAAGTTATTTTATCATACAACTCTGTAAGGTTTTAATAGTAGTGCACAAGCTGTTTTGTTTTTTTAGCTTATATACCGGTAAGAGATTCTATATTAACTTTTACACAGACAGATTGGTTTCCGGATTCCAGGAACTTATTCCAGGAATATTATTACGAGAAACCGTAGCAGATAGAATAACACACAATACCCTATTACTTCCTTAGTTACTTAAATAGAGTTCTCAGTTTGAAAAGTAATACATTAAGTAATACAAAATTGTCTTCGCATGACCATAGTTTTGTTACGATAAAGTGCCACGTCACACACACTGATCAATAAGATACCGGTGACATACCGTTAACTATATGGAATACCGCTTGTCGTTGTGTAAAGCCGGTTTTCCACTTGGTGAATTTGTTCGCACGATTCAAAGCGTCGGTTCGCTTCCTGAGTTCTGATTGGTTGCGCATTTTTACACTTCGCAAAAACTCCGATAGAAATGTGAATGCGCATGGATTCGCGTGAATAAATTTGCGTGAATATACAAGGCATCCGACATATCCGATCAGTTTGCAAGGTCGTTTTACATGGCGCCATACTTTATTTTAAGAAATTTAATCAATTTAGTCTCTGAATTTTCAGTGAAGTTTGGGTTTAACTTTTTGCAGATATTAGCAGAGATGCCAAGTTTGTAAATTAGCTGGGAGTGAAAGTTTAAACAATCGAGGAAGCGAAGTGGGGGTGGGGAAGG